GGGGGGGGGGGTGTGCATGTATAAACTATTTATTAGCTTTACCGCTCAATCAGATGACAGATATATTATTTTCACTAACCATCAAAATGCACCAAAGTTCACATCAATAGTAGTGTGTAAGTAAACTTACCGACTCCATAAAGCACTGCCACATTAAGGCTGTTGTCCTGGTCAAAGGCTGACAGCTCCTCGGTCAATCTCTGAGCAGTCTCTTGATTAACTGCATTACGCGCTTCAGGGCGGTTAATCCCAATAACCATCACCGTACCCCTTCTCTCAGAAATCACTGTCCCACCTGCACCTTCCACAATCAGGAAATGCATGAACATTGAATTAATCTGTTGTACAATACAATAGATAATGTTTATTTATTTATTTGTTTGTTTGTCCAAATGCTTTTTGGGAAAGTTTGGAATAATTGAATTACTGAATTCATAAATTTCTTATGCACACTTAGGATTAATTTATTTGATCAAAAATACAGTAAAAACAGCAACATTGAGAAATATTATTACAATGTAAAATAACTGTTTTTTTAATTTTATTTTCATATATTTTTAAAATGTAATTTATTCCCGTGATGGCAAAGCTGAATTTTCAGAAGCGATTACTCCTGTCTTTAGCGTCACATGAGCCTTCAGAAATCAGTCTAATAAATGTTTGTGTTGCTCAAAAACATTTATTATTAATGTTATTATTATTATATTGTTATTATTATTATTATATATATGTTTTTGAAAGAAGTCTCTTATGCTCACCAATAAATGTTATAATAATAAATGTTTCTTGTAATTAATAAGGGTAATAAATGTTTCACGGATAATTAATAAATATGACAAAGTCTCACACCTACACTGGATGTGTGCGACATGTCGTTTCTAACCATACACACACTGTGAACGCTGACATTATGTGTAAAACTGGATTTCTGTCGAAAATAAACTACGATAAAAGGCTTCACCCGTTTCTGAAGTCCAATTTACAGTTCACAGAGAAACTCTTACCTGGGTCAACGCCTTTTCTTTCTTCTTTTGACATGTTGCTGTAAAATCTTTGCCCTTTCACTGAGTTTAAAGTCACGTGGTGAATTGCCCTCCTAAAGCCACTATTAACTGATATTCTTCTTAAAGTTAAAGCCATAATTTAGGGGAAATGATTAATGCGCCTTTAATCTGTTGTTTTGTTTTGCTTAGTTTACAGTGGTAGATTCAGATTGTGTCAAACTTCACTGTTTTACGTTGACATAAGACGAAATAACAATCAGTGGTTCGGGATACCAAAGTAAAAATCAAAGTCCCTTTATTACTCTTGCAAGAGTATTCTATAGTCTTTGGTAAAAAACCACCCAGAAAACGCTAATAAATTACAAAGTCGTGTATAGCAACACTCACCCCCTCTATTCTAAGAAATGGTTATATTGTCTATTAATAAGAAATTACACCAAAAGTTTCCAAACGGTAAATGATAGACCTCGCATGGGATCCAAATAGAATTCCACTTCTTTCCTAGAAAACAAAAATATGCTAAATATATCTACAAATTAGAGAAACATTCTGTTCACAAATAAATTAATATATTATATACAAACTCTCATATCTGCCTGGCTGAACCAAATATTTTAACCAAGTGTAAAATCTACCTTTAAAAAAGGCCAGGTTTTATTACACAAAATATAATTTCTTGTATTTTCTATAAACACAGGAACAAACGCAATGTTAACACATTATTCAAAATGCATTTTAATAATAAAACAAAACAAAAAAATGAAGCTGTCTACTGTGTATGCAAATATGTGACTGAAACTAATATTTGCCAAAGTAAATCGTGTTTAGCTTCAATAAATTGATTTCGGTCTCGGTAATGAATCTATTTTGGTTTTATTTTGTTGTACTGTATTTTCTTCATTTGCATTTCGGTGCTATTAGGACTTTTATTATGAAGTGAAAACCCCATGACCCGGATGTTTAAACACGATCAACTCAGGCATGTTTCGAAGTAACTCGGTCAAGCAGGACATTATAATTCTTTAATTGTATTATTGAGAGAAACTGGGTTAATAAATAGAATATAAAGTATAAATTGTATATTTTTTTTAATAAAGTTTCGGAGCAGAAGGGGGCGGTAATGCACCAATAAGCTGGATGCCAACCGCCGTTAAACTGGAAAGAAGAAGAAGAAGATGTTTCGAAGTAATTTCTTGTGTTTTGCATTTAAAATGTAGGTTTTTAATTACATTGGCTGGCGTTCAGATGTATATATTGACATTATGCAGAAGAGCTGGGTTAAGGAATGCCTGGTCGTTATTCCACTCAGTTATACTGGATTTTTCGTGGTTCTCTGAAGATTGTATGTCAGGTTTATCGTCCAGTTCACTGGTAGTTTGCTGTCCCTCCACTGTAAGCCAGACGGTCAAATGAATGCATATATTTTTTAAACAAATATAACCGAAAGGAATATATTTACAGGCTATTCTTTTTCTTCAGCTGCTCGTAATGTCTTTAGCTGGAGCGCTGTGGTTTGCTGTGCAGGATGATTTATTCACAAACGGAGTGTGTAACAACACATCATCAGCACCCAGCATCAGCAACATGGCTCAAGACAAACAATCCAGCATCAGTGAGCCAATCTCCGCCTCCGAGACACACAGTGTCCTGGACGAACTGGACGATCGCTTTATTTCTCAGACTTTACATCTCAATCGACAGTGTTTGCGGTTCATCGTCGATTTCATCCAGGCCCGTTTAAAGAAAGACGTGTTTGCGCCCAGTCACAGCCTGACCTCCGCGGAAGCCAACATTCTGGCCACGCTTGCCTACTACGCACAAGGGTCTCTGCCCAGTACAATCACAGTTCGGCTGGGAATAGGTCAGACAGCAGCGGGCGAGGCGGTGAAGACCATTACCAAACTCTTATCAGAAATGAGTCCTGATTTCATCACTTTCCCAAACAGTTATAACGACCGCATGGGTGCCGCACAAGCCTTTAAGAACCTGAGCGGCATCCCGCATGTGGTGGGAGTGCTGGGGTATCTGCACCTGAAGGTGAGCCCTCCGGTCGGGGAGGAGCTCATGTATATGAACACCCTGGGTTCTCATTCAGTCATGATGCAGGTCATATTCGACGTGGACGGGAATCTGTTGAGTCTGGAGCAGTGCTGTCCCGGAGGAACTCCTGAACACACTGTTTGGGAAAATTCAGACATTGGCAGACAGTTCAGCATATTTCAACACGGTCATACGTGGGTTATTGGTAAGAACCATTGAGAAGCAAGCGTAATAAAACTTCCCCTTGCGTTAGAATTATGTGTCCTGATTATTTTTCTGAGGAGTGAAGTCAACAAAAAGTTCTAAATCATTTAAAATATAATAAAATGTAATGTGATCACTTTTTCTTTTATATATTTTAATAAGTACAGGTCAGAACAAGTGTTTAATTTTTACATAAATATATTTGTTACCCTGAATGAAGATGGAGCATTATTTCACCCATATATTGACCATTTATTTTCACAAAAGTTGTTTGAAGCATTAAAGTAGACACTTTACGTGCATTTAATGTGCTTTCTATGTATATAAAGTAACTTCTGTCAAGTTATTTTGAAGTGGACACCAAAATGGGATCTCTCTCTCTCTCTCTCTCTATCTATCTATCTATCTATCTATCTCTCTCTCTCAAGCCTTTAAGAACCTGAGCGGCATCCCGCATGTGGTGGGAGTGCTGGGGTATCTGCACCTGAAGGTGAGCCCTCCGGTCGGGGAGGAGCTCATGTATATGAACACCCTGGGTTCTCATTCAGTCATGATGCAGGTCATATTCGACGTGGACGGGAATCTGTTGAGTCTGGAGCAGTGCTGTCCCGGAGGAACTCCTGAACACACTGTTTGGGAAAATTCAGACATTGGCAGACAGTTCAGCATATTTCAACACGGTCATACGTGGGTTATTGGTAAGAACCATTGAGAAGCAAGCGTAATAAAACTTCCCCTTGCGTTAGAATTATGTGTCCTGATTATTTTTCTGAGGAGTGAAGTCAACAAAAAGTTCTAAATCATTTAAAATATAATAAAATGTAATGTGATCACTTTTTCTTTTATATATTTTAATAAGTACAGGTCAGAACAAGTGTTTAATTTTTACATAAATATATTTGTTACCCTGAATGAAGATGGAGCATTATTTCACCCATATATTGACCATTTATTTTCACAAAAGTTTGAAACATTAAAGTAGACACTTTACGTGCATTTAATGTGCTTTCTATGTATATAAAGTAACTTCTGTCAAGTTATTTTGAAGTGGACACCAAAATGGGATCTCTCTCTCTCTCTCTATCTATCTATCTATCTATCTATCTCTCTCTCTCTGTCTCTTCAAATATTTAAGTTAAAATTTATAATTGTTAAAGTGTTATTTTGAACTTTATATTCATCAAAAAATCCTACAAAAAAAAATATTAAGCAGCACAACCGTTTTAAACATTGATAATAATAATACATTTTTCTTGAGCAGCAAATCAGCATATTAGATTGATTTCTGAAGACACTGACACTGAAGACTGGAGTAATGGCTTCTGAAAATTCAGCTTTGTCATCAGAGAAAAAAAAATGACATTTTAAATTCAAATAGAACATAGGTATTTTAAATTGTAATATTTCACAATATAATTGTTTTTTACTGTATTTCTGATCAAATAAATGCTGTTTTCTTAGCATGAGACATTGTAATGTGCTCTATTATTAGTTAACTAATTAGTTAAATCCTTTTAAATAAAATATATTGACCATAATGTTCAATTTTTTTATATATTACGTTGTTTACTACATTGCTTCCTGTAATACTTCTTGTGGGTCAGTTATGGAATTCAACTATCAAACACTTCTGAATAATAAACATAACTGACCTGCAATACTATGCTGTAAAATTAATAAAATCATGATTTAAAATAAACTCCAGTCAGGAAATTTAGTGTCTCTTCCCCCTCTTATCTTTTTGTCTTTGTGTCCCACAGGTAGCAGAAGTCTGCACGGTTGTGGACATGTGTTGACACCTGCCGAGGCTTTTCGCATCAAAAGCAACGCAGCCCTGCAATTTAACAAAGCACATGCTCAGCTACACGGCCGTGCACAACAGGTCTTTGGCAGTTTGAAAAGCCGTTTCCAGTGCCTGCGTGACATCGGATCCATTCAGTCCCCTGAGTCAGTGGCATGTACCATCAAAGCCTGCTGTGTCCTGCACAACATCTGCAAGAAGTTCTCCGTACCGTTACCCTTGGATTTTAGCGTAGAGCCACTCCACCCACCATCTGAGGTGGTGAACATAATGGCAGAGCAGCCATTTGACTACATGGAAGACACTAAAGATGAAATGATAGAAGCGTTTTTTAATATTGCAGAAGATGAAGGCGAAGGTGTGACCAGATATGTAAAAGAACAGTTGTGATTGCAAAAAGCCAGAAACCATTAGAGGTTAAACCACATGTACTGAATACTATTAATGAAATGAACACAGACAAATGCATGCCAATGCCAGTTGATTCTTCACATAGTTTATTCAATTAATCAATAATTGATCAAAATAAGTTAATGCTAATACAGTAATATTTGTCAACAAGTGATGTGAATAAAAACAAAATGTCTATGAAAGACTTTAAATGGCACTCTCTTAATAATACAAGTCTGTTATAAGAAATGGTATTGGAGTGGTACCATGTCTCAGTTATGCTATCAGCTGTTAATACCATAGTGCTTTCAAATACAGCAAAATAGTGAATGATTATTATATTTATATTTACACCAAAAGAGCTGAAAACCTGTATTACCATGGTACCATGTCCAGATGTTAATAGGCGGTACATAATTTTTTATTTTTAAGTTAATTATTTACAAATTGCTTGTGGATGGAAACATATGTTATGCCTGGTTAGGACATGATGCAAATGTATTCAAAATTTTAAGTTCAGTTACATTTCTGTTCTTACTAAAGTGCAAAAAAAATTACATGACCAGCAAATACCAAAGCAGGTAACACACAACATTACTTACCCAAATATGTGAAGGCGAACGTGAAAATGACTTAAATTTGACTGAATTTTCACTAATGTGACCGCAACTTAATCTTAAACTCTGATTGGTAATTTAAGAAATACAAAATGTTTGAGGAATGTTTACACGGCTCTTTCCATATAACAACAGTTTGCAGAAACCATATCTGTGAAGTTCTATAATTTTCCACTTCTTGGCAGCTCTGAAAAATTCAGATATATTTACATATTCTCTATTTTGCATACAGATTTGAAATGATTTAAATCAGGGTACCCAGTCCTGATGTAAATAATTACACAATTATCATCTTTAGATGAACTATTCCTTTAAAGCATGTTATACGACAGGCAGCTGAGAATACATGACACTGGCGAAATAGAAAAAAAAATGGAAAAATACTTTTCTTCTCTATTAATCTAAAACAAATTGAATTCAACTGATATTAAATAGACCATCTCTTACTTCAATTTTAACAACAACAACAACAAAAATCTCATTTAAAAGCAATGTGCAAAATAAGCAGCACTAAGTACAGCTCAAAGGAAAGTTTCCTTTCAGAGAGCACAGCTTATCAAGCAAAAATTTAACATTAAAAACAAGCCTATACACAGCTATTTAGTTAAATAAAGACTGGCAGTTAAGTTTAAATGGTAAACTTTTAGTGCTTTATAGCTTAGGCTCAAAATACCATGGCCAGTATCTTTCAGTCTTATTAGCAGAAGACTGTGTTTAAATAAAATAATAACAATAACAGCATTTTAGTGTATATAATACCCGTATAATCCAGGCTTTCAGTGTTTATTCATAGAAGGCTGTGTATTTAAAATGGGCCATTGGACCATATGATATGGCTTATATTTCTGCTCATATTTGACTTTATTTTTCATATTCTCTTAATGCTATTGCGTTGACATAAATCATGTCTGAGTTTTCATAGAGAGGCTCTGACTTGGGCACAACTTTGGGCTGTAGAGTATCCATGATGCACTGGTGCAGGAACACATACTGAGACTGTAAGAGACAGAGAGATAAGCATAAAACACATGAAAGTAAAGAGTGTCTGCCAGGAATATGCATTTCCTTATTTCCTAGTGATAAAATTATTACCTGTAATTAAATAATATGTAGTAATCATAAAAAATACAGATGCCACCCTGTTTGACCAAAGACTTTTGAAATGTCCTTTGAACTCAAAATAAGCATACCTTGATAACTTGCTGATAGCAAGTGCTGTTATAAATATTTACTACATGTTATTGTACTTTTCTATTAATTCTGGAAGCTGCTGTCAAGTCTTAACACCTAATTGTAGAATTAGCAGTAATATCACTGTATGTATATATGGAATAATGGGGGAAAAAACAGTAAAAGGATATTTCTTATATGTCTGTTTTATTGCTATTAGTTACATAAATTGCAGTGTTTTCATTTAATGTTGCTTAGTTATTTCTGTATTGTATTGTATATATACTTTACTCGTTTGCTTGAATGCAGTGAATAAACTTCCAACAGCACACTGGTTGTTAGTACATAAACGTTTAAGTAGTTTGATATTTTAACATTATTATATGATATATGGTTACCTACTGGATAATATACAGTCTCCCAAATGCCACCCTTTTTACAGTAAAATTCCATTGACCACAGCAGCCTGTATGTGTGTGTGTGTGTGTGTGTGTGTGTATGTGTATGTGTATGTATATGTATGTGTATATATATATATATATATATATATATATATTATTTGGATCCTCCAGGAAAAAGTTAGCCATAACACAAATAGGCTATATTCATCATCAAAATAATCACCACTATAATAATAACAACACCGATAACCCAATTCTATGCTAAATTGCCAATAAACCTATCACAATAAATGCTTTTTAAAATAATGGATTGAAACAGTCTTACCTCAGTTTGCACCATTAGTGGCCGGCTGAGTCTCATTTGCTGGACAAATGCTGAAATTCCCACTGCCTTCTCTTTGTCCAGCTGCTGCAGCAGAACATCCAGCGCAATCAGGGTACCTGTCCGGCCCACTCCGGCACTAGAGTACAGAGATGGTGACAAATACAGAAGGATTAAAACTTTGCTTCATTTATTTAGTCAATGTAGTTATTTATTAATGCTCACTCTTCATATTGCTTTGCTGTCAGCTTTTAGCAGTTGACTGACTATCATTATTCATGTTAAGTTAATGTTTGAGGTGGATTTCAAAGTGAGCAGTGGTCACCTGCAGTGTACAATTGTTGGCCCTGCAGAGAAAGAGCTCTCTACGTGCTGACGGATGCGTCCTCTGAATTGGATCAGCTCCTCTGTGCCAGTGGGTACGCCATGATCCGGCCATGCTGTGAAGTGGAAGTGCCTCACTGTTCGTGTCTCAGAGGTGGTTTTCTGTTATATGCAAAAAATAGACAGAAATAGATCTTATGCTAATGTGACCAGTAATGTGTTAATATATTCATATTCAAGTTAAATGACTCATAGCAGGAGGAATACGCTTTTTCTTGATCTTTTGAAATGAGTTCAATATAAAAAAAAAAAAAACTTTTTTTGAACCATGACAAGTTCACATCAGTGATGCCTATTTGGTGAACAGTAACTGATGATACAAGTAAAATGTGATGAAGTCTGTCAAAGCTTCTACTATTTCTGACTGTGTGTAGCACCTTACAACTTACAACTATTTTTGAAACAGAGGGATAGAAATATCTCAGCTCACATTTTTGACATTAAATTCTCGCAGAGTCCAACTTGGAAATTTATCCTCCGATTTCACTGAGACAAGCAGGTGTCCATAAAGACACGGCGTGTAGTCCAGTGGCCAGTATTGCTCACACTTGACCTGGAGAAGTTAAATCAGAAAAAAATTATATATAAAATTATATATATATATATATAAAAAAAAAAATAAATAAATAAATAAAAAAAAATAATAATATATATATAATTAAGTTCTAACAAGTAAGTTTTTGCTCAAAACTAACCAAAGTGAAAACAAACAAACAAACGAACAGAAAAAAAAAAGTTTAAAATCACCGTACAAGAGACACTTGGTGTAGTTTCTAAACAAAAGGAAATATATCAGCATCTGCTATATTGTGCATCACTAGTTGTTATACAACAACAACAACAACAACAACTATAAAAAAAAAAAAAATAATATATATATATATATATATATTCAAATAACTGCACCAAGTGCAGAGGAAAAATCTGCTGTAGTGTTAACAATGTTATTACAGAAATTATGCAACCAGACCACTCTGATTATGGTGTTTTACACAAAATTGGAATAAAAATGTCAAACAAAATTTTTTTCAGCCCTGATAATTGAATTAAACAATTCAATTATCATATTCAAGTTAAAGATAGGGCTTCCGGCTTCGCTACCGTTCGGACGTTCTTGCTTACTGCTCTGCGCATTCCTTGTTTTATTGTTGTGATTTTTGTTTTCTTTTCTTTTATGTAAAGCACTTTGAATTACCACTGTGTATGAAATGTGCTATACAAATAAACTTGCCTTGCCTAAACATCATGCAACAATAATGTAGCATAATACTGTTTCATACATCACTACATAATGTATAGTTCCATATACTGTAGTGTTTATTAAACGAATGGAAGTCAGTAAACACTTCATACAACAGTAAGCAGTCTTCTGTTCTGAACATTGCCTTACCCTTCCACTCTCAGTGCAGTTGGTTACCATGACGATGACCTGTGACCTTTTCTCCCAAACCATTCTCCAGAAGTCATTGACAGTGGATGGCAGTGGACCTTGAGCAGCGATATACTGTCTGCTTGCATTGGCGTAGCCCTGATATGCACATAAACAATAAACAAATGTCAATCCACCAGGAACATTTTCTCTGGAGATACAAGCAAGGTAATGCCTTGTGTAATGAATTACAGCTGATGTTAACTACTATTTAATGTACTTACAGGCATGTAGTTAGCATTGATATAATCAGAATCACCCTCATCATTTGTGGTGAGATGCACTCTAGAGGAGTCATCTTAAAGACAGAGAGAGGAGGATAAAATTACATTTTTAGACAGTGTGTGTGTGTGTGTGTGTGTGCGTGCGTGCGCTCGCGCGTGTGTTTGTGTGGTCCTAGTATTCCCTACATTATGGGGACCAAATGTCCCCACAAGGATAGTAATACCAAGTGTTTTGAACATCTAAAAATGCAGAAAATTTTGTGTGAGTCTATGTTTAGGGGCAGGGTTAGGGTAAGGAGATAGAAAATAAAGTTTGGACAGTATAACTATTACATCTATGGAAAATCCCACACAAATCAGTGTGTGTGTGTGTGTGTGTGTGTGTGTAAACACTCACAGGCTAAAACATTGGAAAATCGGTTTTTGTCCTTGTTTTCAGGCAGAAGAGCTGCAACACTGGACTGTTCTATACCCACTGAACTCAAGTCCTGTTAAAACATATTCAGTAAAATCATTCTCAACAAACGCTCTGAATATCGAGACTTAACTTGATGATTCTAACATAAAAGCATGTTGGCATTTTCAGCGTATAAATACTTTGCAACAGTCCCAACTAGGCCTCGTTCTGTTTTAATGCCTCTCAAAATAGATAAAAATAATAAAAATGAAATTTCATATTTGATAAACCCTATACAGCTCATATTGCATTATATTATGAAAGAAACTCAGACAATAAATAAATAAAAATCATACTTATTATGCTTTGCAGAACCATAGCGGTGCCATACAAAAACAGCAACACAAATAATGATGACCAAGAGGAAAAACACAAGAACACCTGCTATAACACCTGCAAAAAACAAACAAACACTGAACATGTCAATGCAATGTTCAACTAGTATAAATAAATACAAGGTTAAGCTCTATGCAGCTGAAGCCTATGGGGGTTTAAAGGCAGAAATTTTCATATATGGGCACATCATCAGAATGACCAAATGCAGAGGACCAAGAAACAATTTCCAGTATTTTCTGGTACCCACCACAGGCCTCTAGGCTTTGTCATACTGTACAAAATCAACTCCTGCAGTAACTAACTCAAATATAAATCTGTGAGGCTGTTTCACTCATGGCAGCATATCATCGGTCACTGTTAAATACTGTGTGTTAACCAAGGAGACTTTCTTAGCACTGCCATCACATTATGTCAAGAAGTGGTTTGACTTCTTGGTATCATGAATACTGTAGCATTTAATAATCTCGATTACTGTTAATATTGCATGTATTTAATATGTTCTTTAACATTTCAAGTTGTATAGAAAATTATAAAATAGTAAATTTTTGTCCTAATTTCATATTTGATAAACCCTACCTCATATTCCTCACTGAAACCTCTATTCTCATCACGAATCATGTTTTGAAAATGTTCAGGAAATTTATCCAAGGGAATCAGTCTGAAAAACATTTTGCATTTGTTTACGGTTATATAAGTCACTAAAATGACATCATATACAGCAGCCCCAAAAATATGTAGACACTTTTGGCACACCTAAAAAAATGTCTGAATGACATAGCATTATTAATATATAAGTGCATTTTTGTATAAAAACTACTGCACATGACACTTTCACATTTGTATATCTAATCAAACATGCAGTTTCACCTAAAGTTCACATAAAACTAAATATTCTGTCATTGTTTACTCACCCTCACATCATTTCAAACCTGTGTGCTTTTCTTTCTTCTGAAGAATACAACAGAATATATTATGAAGAATGTTGGTTAACCAGACAGTTTTGGTGATCACTGACCTCAATTGTACAGAGAAAAAAAAAAGAGACATTTCTCAAAATATCTTCTTATATCTTATATTTCTTATGTTCCACATAAGACAGACACACAGGTTTGGAAATGACATAGGGGAGAAATTTTAAGGTGAACTTCTAAATGCTTTGGGCCACTTTATTTTCCAATTTTCTCATATAATGGACTCACACATACTTGTAGTTTTTATTAGGCACTATTTTTGTCCTTTATTTTCTGAACCACATTTTATGCCATTGTAAAACACTACTGGTAAAAAGTTTGGAATAATTACGATATTTTAATGTTTTTAAAATAGATCTCTTATAAGGCTACATTTATTTAGTCAAAAATACAATATAAAGCAATAATATTGTGAAACAGAATTCACATTTAAAATAACTGTTTTCTATTTTAATGTATTTTAAAATGTCATTTATTCCTGTGATGCAAAGCTTAGTTTTCAGTATTATTACTCCAGTCTTCAGTGTCACATGATCCCTCAGAAGTCATTTTAATATGCTAATTTGCTGCTCCAGAAACATCCATCATTGTTGTAATATGGTTATATTATTATCAGTGATGAAAACAGTTTTTTTCTAATTAATATATTGTGAAAACCATGATATATTACCATACAAAAGTACAAAAAAAACAAAATTACATTTTAATTCAGCAGGGATGCATTAAATTGATCAAATAAAATGACCACAATAAGTTCAATAAGACAATAAAGATTTCTGTTTAAATTAAATGATGTTGTTTGACTTTTCTGCTAAAAAAAAATAATCCTGGAAAAAAAGTATCAGGGCTTCCACAAAAATAATAAGCAGCAAAACAGTTCTCAACACTGATGATAATAATAAACATTATTTTACAATATATTGCAAGTCTTCTGAAGTCACATAATAGCAATTGTGTGTGGAACAGGCCATCTTATCCATTAAAGCTCTCCTTGGTTTTTCCATGACAGCTCATGAGTGAAGCAGGGTTCATACAGGTTTGGAACAACATGAAGTTGAGTAATAATGACAGAACTGTCCCTTTTAAGATTAATTATTGCTTTAAGTTGTAATTTAACTTGGAATATTCCTGGATCTTTTATTACAGATATCTAGACATTATTTTACCTGCTGGATCTGTTTGGCAGTTGACTGATACTGTTTGACTCCTCATGGCTCCTGAGAATGATGTTGCTGTCACTTCGTACCACTGGGCAGCTTGCAGGCCTTTTACCTCTAACGTTATTGTTTTTTCTGAACTATGTGATTGGTTAAACCTTTGCTTGCCAACATCTACCTGCACCATATTCACAACTCCATATGGATGATCCCAAATTACAGCCAGGCCATACCCTCCAGAATGATATTTACAGAGGAGGTGAGATACACTATTCGGAACTAGTTTGAGAGAGAAGCAGATGGACAAAAAAACAAAGTAATTATATTGAGTGTCTCTCAGCGGCTTTTAAGATTAATTATTGCTTTAAGTTGTAATTTAACTTGGAATATTCCTGGATCTTTTATTACAGATATCTAGACATTATTTTACCTGCTGGATCTGTTTGGCAGTTGACTGATACTGTTTGACTCCTCATGGCTCCTGAGAATGATGTTGCTGTCACTTCGTACCACTGGGCAGCTTGCAGGCCTTTTACCTCTAACGTTATTGTTTTTTCTGAACTATGTGATTGGTTAAACCTTTGCTTGCCAACATCTACCTGCACCATATTCACAACTCCATATGGATGATCCCAAATTACAGCCAGACCATACCCTCCAGAATGATATTTACAGAGGAGGTGAGATACACTATTTGGAACTAGTTTGAGAGAGAAGCAGATGGACAAAAAAACAAAGTAATTATATTGAGTGTCAGCTTCTCAGCGGCACAGTCAAAACAGAGCATGTAAACTCACCTAATGTCAAGCGGTGTGAGCACTGTGGCAGCCTCTCTGACTCTAAGTCATAAAACAGTGAAACAGCGTAGCTTTCTCCAGGATATAGGTCTCGCAGATTCACCCTGTTGCCATCTACAGAGCCACTTTGACCATTTCCGGTGCTGTTTTGAGCTGTCACATATGTGGAACCATTCACTTGAGCCTCTATTGATGAGTTGGTAACTATCCAGTTAAAGGACACACAGTCAAGAGCTGCAGAAAATAAACGAACATATGAATGTCAATTTCAAACTGAGTTGGAGTCTTACTCTTGCGGCCTTAATCTTGGCATAAGTGATACAGGACTTTGGGTAACACTTTATTTTCCAGCGTCGTTGTTACACGTTGTATTTACCATAGTAATAACAGTAAATTATGCATAATTAGATGCAAGTAACCCCAAATCCTTACCCTAACTTTATAGTAAATACACATTGTTAATTAATATCACTTAGTGTTTAAATGTATAATTACACTGTAACAACAACACCTTACAATAAATTGTAAACAGACTTTAACTTCCTGGTCTGGATCTGGTCTTGGCCCATATCAAACATATGTTGGTTGATTATGCTGTGGATTCCTTATTTTTTCAGAATATGTGTTACCAAATGTGCTAAAAATATTGCTAACACTTTAGTTAACGTTAGTTAATACAATAAGCAATACATTTGTTACAGTATTTATAAATCTTTATTAATGTTAAATGTAAAAAATACAACTTCGTGTTAGCTATAAGTCATATAGTTATAGTTACAGTTAAGTCAATTAAATAATATTAACAGAGACAACGTTTGATTTTAATTACGTATTAGTATTAAACTAATTAAAATGATCTAAGATTAATAAATAACTAAAAAGTATTTTTCATTGTTAGTTCGTTTTAACTAATGTAGTTAACAAATGGAACCTTACCAAAATATTGTTTAAAGAGTTCAAGCATTCAAAACCACATTTTTTTTCCATGACTAGCAAGCTGCCAAAACTCAATTAAAACTCATACATTTGCTTTTTAAATAGGTAGATGAATCAAAGTAATGTTATCAAAACTTACTAGTGACATTCTTAAAGCTGTATCCTGTACTTATGACATTGTTCACCACAGTGAAGAGTCTAAAACTGTGTTCAGTCCCCGGTGTGAGAGATGGGTAAGTATGTGTTAACTTATCAACAGATCCAGTGAAATTTTTCTCCTCTTCCTGCATTTTCAAAGTGTAGTTGTAGATGTCATTATTGTTTAACTTATTCCACGAGATAGTCAAATCCGTCTGTGACCGAGTGACTGAAACTTCAGTTATGTCGGATAGAGCTGTAAAGAGAGATTCATTTTCAACAAGAGCTGTTAGTAATTAATACAAATACTGCAGCACATTCTTCACAAATTCATCATTGAGATGGTATGTAGCAGGGTTGTACACCAATCAGAATTGAGTTGATAATTCATTTCAATTCAATCTGAATTTGAACTGAGACAAACCAGAAGAAAAACTGTAATACAAATTTGAATTTAATTTTTCAATTCAATTCAGACCAATTCAATTCAACTGAAAGAGTGCTGTCAGAATTTGGGTTACACTTTATTTCGATAGTCCACTTTAGACATTCTACTAACTATAAGTAACTTTGTAACTACATGTCAACTACATGTCAACTAATTCTCATTAATCTGCATCTACATGTCTACTAACTCTCAGAGTAGATTGTTAGGGTAGGTTTAGGGTTAGTAGAAAGTGTTAGAAGATATTAAGCAGACAGTCTACTAATACTCTACTAACTGCTAGTTGACATGTAGTTGCAAAGTTACTTACTGTTAATAGAATGTCTAAAGTGGACTATCGAAATAAAGTGTTACCAGAATTTGCAATAATGTCATTCATAAACATGTTTCATACTACATTTGGGTTGAAACATCAGATTGATTGATTGATTGATTGTAATCGATTTTTAAAATGCCATCTATAGACATTTGCTTTACTCAACTAGATCATGATGAGTAGTACTTTATTTTAAAGTCCTATTCTATATGTACAGTATGTACTAATATAATGTATAATAACTATACTAAACCTCGCCTAACATTAACCCATTACCTTCCAAGAAGTTGACTTATATTAAGTTATATGAAAATAATATGGTAGACTTTTTGTAGTGCTGTGTATGCTAAATTAAAATCTGTTTTGAACTTAGAGAGTGATGTTAAATCAGCAGAAGAAAAAAAAAAGATTTGGTAATTAGAAATGATGTTCTTGTAATTATTTGTTCTTGTGTTGGACTAATGAAATCCCTCTGTGTTAAATTTTTTTTGTTTTTGTTTTTTTACTGCAATTCAGTATATTTATTTCAGTTATTTCAGTTCAACATCCTGTGTGTTGTAACCCATCCGAATGCCAACACATGAATTGAAAGCACGCTGATTCTCACATTCTGACTTTTGCCCAGTCCTGCTATGTGATCAATTATTAGTATAATCCAAAGAATAGTAATTAAAAAATAAGAGCCACTTACTCGTCATTTCGTAGATGTTGCGTCCAGTACTTCTCAGATCAGCAAACTTTGTGTACAGAGTGAAGCTGTAATTTGTTCCAGGAATCAAATCTGATATATGACATGTTACCTCATTTATTTCTGCAATGTAATTAATGCAATCCACCGATTCATCTCTGTATTCAAGAGTATAGTTGTAAGTGTTGCTGTCTATGTTTGGTACAACATTCCATTGTAAGATCATGTCGGTGTCATTGAGCTTCGCCGTCACCTTTTCAACATTAGATGGCACTGAAACAAATGCAGATATCGTGAGAAGTGTGTTTTTATAAAATGAGCTTGCCGTTTACATACAGCAGTTATTAGATAATCAGAGGGAGTAAGTGCAGTAATGGACCTGTTAACTCTATGACACCAACTGCCAGGTTTGTGACCGTTTTTGGGCCAGCGCTGCACTGCCATGGAAAAATTTACAAACTTGGTGTATTTACACTGTTTTTGCAAATTCAGCTGATTCTGAAAACTTAATCCAACAGTTACTAAAACAATAGAAATTCATCAGTTTTTGTGGTGGGACCAGTGAAAATATTTGGAGGGCAAGTAAAAATCCAGTAGGGGTATACACTGTATGAATTGCATCCTAATTCAATTAGAATTTTAGCTGTAGTTCTGTTCTTACTCCTGCACATGGACAGAAATTGGAGAGAAATGTCAGAGGCAGTTGTTTTGTCTTTTACACCTCTTTCTTTCTTAATTGGTAAGTGTGACAGACCTCTGACAGAATAGGACAAGATTTCAGCATAACAGTAGATGTGACACCCTCAACCTAAATCAGCAGCCTGTGTGTCCCTGTAGGTTGACTAAAATGATGTACTCACTGGTTACATTGGAGAAGTTGTATCCACTGCTCGTTTCATTTTCAAACACAGTGTAGAGCGTAAAGAAGTATTCAGTCCCAGCATTCAGAGACATGACGTTATGTTCCACTGTAGAATCAGTAGGTGATCCAGATATTGAAGGCACTTCTTCGTTCCTGTATTTCAGCTTATAACTGTACTCATTGCTGTTGTTGACTTTATTCCACTGTAATTGTATCTCATTCTCTTTCCGTGTGATGACCGAAACACTGTCAACAGGAGATGGAACTAAAGAAGACAGAAACAGAAATTTTATTTCCATAGCTCCTGCTACTATTCACATGTACATTAATTCATCTGCCATTCAGTTCCTTCAAAGACTGACCAGTTAATGTACAGTTCTCCCAGAAAGTAGTTGTAAAGCTACAAATGTCTGAATGTCTTTGCGTTAGAAAAATATCAAGAAAGCTACACTTAGTTTAAAGAAAGACTGCACATATTGAATAGCACAGTCAAAAATACAGCCACTTTGGGTTTGTGAATTGTTAGTGGATCATGTTGATAGGTAATGTGATAAACTAGATGTTTGAACTAACATTTCTGTATGCTACTTGTTTCTGAATACTGGAGCACTATACATGGTAAAGTAAGTAAAATAAGTCAAATTTATAAATGACCATTTAATGTGAAATTCTGTTATTATCTACAAGGCAATACAAATACTTTTTTCCTAAGTAAGAAAAAAAAATTAATAAATGGTGGAAAACTGTAAACTGGAAAATAACCTGTACATTTCATTTGAATAATTACATTTCTTCTTATGGTTGTTATCAGTTATGCACATCAGAGTTAAATGTTACATCTTGTGTTAAAGTGTTAATGTTTAATGGATTATTTTAGTGTTGTGTGTCACACTGTTATATTGGTATTTGCCTTGACTTGTGGAAAGGCTACTTGTGATGAATTGTTATTCATCATGTGGCTTTCCATTGTACTACCTGCATTATTATAGTGTTATTGTGGTTGTTGTCACTCTATTCTAAAGGTAAACATATTTTAATACTTATTTTTAACATTATATCCCAAAAAAGTAAACCCAAAAATGTTCTCATACGTTTGTATGTGCATGAGTGTTTAAATACTTGTACTGTTTTTAAGTAAATACATTTGAGGCCTAATTGCAGGTTTTATTTAGTTCTGCTTGCCGTTTGCAATTAGTCAACTTCAATGAAATTGTATAGAACATACACAAGATCATTAATAGAAGATCATTAATTAATTTCACTGAGCCAACAATTAACTCACATTAAATTTTACCATAAATGTTAGGAATGAAAATTACATAACATTTACAGTCTATTTATAGTGTAATTTAATTTTAATGTAAGAGGAATTTGAAATTTATACTGCCAAAATTATTAAGTTGCTCTACAAGCTTCTTTAGAAAAAAAAAAAAGTATATATGGTTAAACCTCGATGACTCACTTACCAGTTACTTTAGAGAAGTTCAATCCTTTGCTCGTCTCATTCTCAAACACAGTGTAGAGTGTGAAAGAGTATTTAGTCCCAGGAGACAGAGGCGAGACTGTTATATTTACTAAAGAATCAGTTTCTGTTGGGTTGATCTGCAACTCCTCTTTGCCAGTTGTCTTCAGTATATAACTGTAACTGCTGTTTTTAACTTCCCATTGAAATGTTAATTCAGTTTCTGTTCGACCAATTACTGTAACATTCTTAACATCAGGGATTTGTGCCTGAGGGAAGAAATGACATTAATTGAAATAATCAAATGTTCTATAAAACAGCTGGACTCCATAACAATCACAACCGATATGTTTGACGACCAGCTGAATTTTAAAGATATTGCAAAGATCACTCAGTCGTACAGATTTGCTCTAAAACATCCGGAAAATCCCATCTTATTTTAGCATGCTGCACAAGTCTTTTCCCAGGCTCTTGTCACTACTGCTCTTAAGCCATCCTTCATCATGTGCAATCAAACATCTGTAAGTCTTCAATGTACCCATATTACACCTTGTTGTGAATCTCTGCACTAGCTGCCAAGTTTAATCAAAGACTGTATATTACAAATATGGTTCACTTATTATATAAGTGAACAATGCGTAGTATTACTATGGGATGCTTCTTAATCTGAAATGTTACATCCTAGTAAGGCTACATATCTTGGCTTCCATGTCTTCATTTCAGTTTGAATGATCCTTGAAAAGCAGCCTTCGATTAGCATCCTTCATTCAGCATTTTTTAAAGGATTCATCAAGTGTATCCTTTGTGTCTGCCAATAACCCACAATCCTTTGCAAGCACTCCAATTAATGCAAAAGAATTAGCAGAAAACGAATCGGCACTGAGCTTGTCTAATTTCATTATGTAACGCAAGACAAAAAAAATTCGCTGATGAAAGCATTACGTTTATTTTTTGTTGATTTTGTTTTTGTTGTTTTTCCTGTAAATTATTCACATAATGCTAAACTGTCTGTAACCACAGACATTTGTCATTCACTGAACGGTCTTATTCTAGCAGTCATTGCTGAGGAGGACTCTAGCCTACAAGCCTCAGAAGTAAGGAAGGATGCAGCCTTCTGACTGAAAAACATCATGTGAATGGGAGAAATGATATGGTGGCTCTAGTAATAATAATATAAATAAATAAAAGAGTTAATCGCTCAGCCTCATGCCTAACAATGCCTATTAAAGGGGTCATATGATGTTGCTAAAAATAACATTATTTTGTGTATTTGGTGTAATGAAATGTGTTTATGCGGTTTAAGGTCCAAACAAAGTAGTTTCGCTTTCACAACGAAACACACAGCGCCTTCACAACATGGAGGCGGCGGCAACAATACTACAGCGAGAATAAAAGTGCCCCTTCTTTCTTTGCATGAACATTTGGGCGGCGTTATCCTAATCTTCCCAGATAGTGAGGTAGATATGTGGGGGCGTGTTAGAACGAGCCGTTTTAGGTAGGTTTGGCTGACTCTTAACTTTTATAAATCTCTTTGGATTTGAGACTTTAGTCTTTGCAACTTTACAGATCTTCTTTATGCACCAAGAGCTTGTAACACTCCAAAGAGAAAGGAAAAATTGAAATCGCATCATATGACCCCTTTAACTGTTCTAAATTCCCTGCAAACCACAACTTCTTGGGGCTTATTGCTTTATAAATGTCTGTTTTAACTGAACTATCCAGTGCATTGTGATTGGGCGAATTCCTCAAGCGTGTGATGGAAATGTTATGTCCCTTACCATATGCTATTGTCATTTTGCATTATTGACACACTATTTTCCTAATTAATGCTGTTCAGTTGCTTTGACACAATCTGTATTGTTAAAAGCGCTATATAAATAAAGGTGACTTGACTTGACTTGACTTGTTTTAGTTAGCTTACATACTAGAATAGCATAATTAGCATGATAGCTTAGCATATACATCACACATTTGCACTTCAATAATATTCATTATAAATAAATATAAAAAGATGTGTAAAATGTCCAAATATTTCAGTTATTACAAAAGAATTAGATTTGGTTATTCATTTATTCATTAACTGTTATTAAGTGAAGGAAATTATATTATGTCCAATTTGTTTTATTATGCACTGTATAGTAAGCAATTATTTACATATTTTGTCACAACACCATTTTCCATAGGCTATAAACCTGAAGCTTAGCACATGCACATAATTGGCTGGACCCACCTGAAGTGTATGCTTTTTTAATGGTGTTTGAGCATAAGAAACAACATTTGTAAGACTGTTCATGTCAGTTTTTATTGCTGATTTGAGTTTGGCAAGCAGTTTTTGAGATTTCGTTATTTCACGTAGATAGGAGTTGGTCTTGTACACCTGACTAGTAAACTGAATTTCCTTAAAAGGGACTTTGGATTAAGTCACTGAGGCTTGCATGTAGAGCTGTCACTTGATCTACAGTCTACATTAATTCAGAAATTCCAGAAGTCTGTGGTGAGTGAACAGCAAAAAGTCACAAAATTTCTCTTCTTTTATATTTAGTGTACTACAGTGGTGCAGTTATCGGTAACACTTTATCTTGATAGTCCACATTAGACATTCTACTAACTATAAGTAGCTACATGTCAAATATAGTACCAGTCATCAGAATATTGACTGTCTGCTTCTCCTACCACTTTATTTTGATAGTCCCCAAACAGACATTCTATTGACTATAAGCAGTGGTGTAGTGGAGGGTATACGCAGGTATACGGCATATACCCACTTCTTTATCAGTCGGCTTTGCGTATACCCACTTCTAAATCCCCTCTGATGCGCATCATTCAGTAGTGTCCGGCATTAGCCAAAATCATGACAGTCCACCATGACTAGCTAATCAAATCAATTATTTTTTTTGGTATCAAATAGAGATCATGATCCTCCTACAGATAACTAAACAAAATAGCTTGTCTGCTAGAGGTTCTGACAAAATGTTAATTGTTGCAGTCTATCTAATTTTTACATTTTAATTATTTATTGCAAAATCTGCACCTCTTTTGTGGCTAATATTAATTTCATAATGATCCTTACTCCGTGAAGTCAAGTAGCAGAAGTTACAGTAAGTGAAAATGTGCAAATACTACTGGCCCATTTTGGGGTGAACTAAATATGCAAGACTAGTCTTACGTCACTGTTTATAACACAGGCCGTTCATCCTTTGCTGGGCCGCTTAAAAAAATGGGGACATAAATTAAGAGTATACCCACTTCTCCAGGCACCACTACACCACTGACTATAAGTGACTTTACAAGTACATGTCAGCTTATTCTACTAACGCTAAACCTAACCCTACAGTCTACACATACTCTAATGATAATTAGTTGACATGTAGTTGCAAATTAATGAGTGTTAGTTGACATGTAGTTGCAAAGCTACTTATAATTAGTAGAATGTCTAAAGTGGACTATAAAAATAAATTATATTCCCAAATCCAAGAGAACTGCTGAAGACACAACTTTTCAGTGAGAACATGACTAAAAACTGCTAAGGCAGTTGCTCTTAAAATTTAAGGCCAGTTCATACCTAGGACAATAACTATAAAGATAACTATGATGACTTTATTGTTATCTTTTCATGCCTGAACTTTTTACCATAGTTCATTTAGGTCATTTACTATGATATTTATTACAAACACAATGTTCAGATCGAAACTGATCTAGATGGATGCTGTGTGAATTAGTTTGAGGCAGATGCAAATTGAAATACAATTAAAATGATTAAC